AGCAGTGTTGGTTTGAGCTCGGGCTTGGCCGCAATAATATGTTTCGCCAAAGACATGCAATCTTCGAGGTCTGTATCTTCAAAAGTCTTGGAGACCGATTCGACATCTTCGAACAATGACTCCTTGACAAGTTTGAAAATATTCTTTGCCTTAGCTGATGGGTCATCGGGCAGCGTAGGTTCTTCATTTGTCTTGAGGTGATCCATCGTATAGTTCCTAACGTGAATCAAGGCAAGTCTGCCACGTGAAGTATGGTTAAGTATAGTTGAAAGAGAGAAAAAAATGTTGCCTGGTAGGTGGGAAATATTGGTCCGGCCATGGTTTATATATTTTCTGACTATGCCCCATTCATGCACTCAAACAGACAGATATCTATTAATGGCAGCGAACAGAAATGGCTAAAGAAATTTATGCAGGGTGTCTGTTACGTGTTACGGTAATTGCACTATCCAGCGATAATAGGGCCGGCCTATCCGTGATTTTCCATATTTGAGACCGGTTACTTGGAACCTTGCGTTAGATCGCAGGGATTCCGTACATGTTCGTACTAATTGAAGGACGGTGATGAAAAGAGTAACTAGCAGATTGTATTGAAGGTCTCATACCCTCAGGGGCTAGTATTAGCGTGTTGCAGGGCGGGTTTTCCGAAACGACCAAATTTGCCATACGAAGGAATATGGAGGAGCGGGTAGCCGTTGAATCAGTTGAACGAACTCTGATTTGTACTTGAGATATCTATGTGCAATTGGCTGGTTTCTCTGGGTCCTGCTGTTGAATGCTGCAGACCTCCGGACTTTTGCTTGTGTCACGACACTAGGATTGTACTTCAAGTTCTCGAATGCAAAGATAAAAGAAAGTAATGTGTACCCGGATAATATTCCTACCATCAGAAGTAAACCAGCCTCAAGTTTAATCGCCGCGGGTAATTCTAAGGACCAGCCGGTTGTAGGTCGGTGGACTCTAGTTTCGCCACGTTCTTGACTGCCATCACCGGGTCTTCATTGCACTGCAAGAAATACTCTTGCAGTGTAGCAGGTGACAAGGCCAAATGAGAGACGACATCGGAAAATTGACTGGCCAGCTGATCAAGCATTGTATTCGGGGACTTTGCGTCGGCATCATCATTACCAAAAAAGAAAGAGAAGTAGTCCTGTATGGTCGGTGCATCGGGGTTTCGGAACTCGAATTGCTTGTCTATCCGTCCAGGTCGAGTCAGAGCCGGATCAAGTGTTGCTTTAGCATTCGTGGTGGCAACGAGTATATGGCCGTTGTGCGCTCCGATACCATCTAAAGCATTCAGAACAGTTGCCAGCGTTATTCCTTTCTGACGAGATGCATCTTTTTCTTCGTTCACTGTATTTCCACGCTGATCAATCCCGGTAGTGTCTATATCTTCAAGTACCACCATACAGCGTGCAGGAGGGGCCGGTAGTGTGCGGAAAAATTCTTGTAGGCCATAATCATCAACAGTGGCGAGGTTGATTATATATATCGGAAGCTCAAAGTGGGTGGCAATCACCTTGCAGCAGCTGGTCTTACCCGTGCCTGGTGGGCCATGGAAGAGATAGCCTCGTCGATGTGGGATGCCACGTTTCCGATAAAAGTTGGTAACATCTTTGCTGAGGAATTTTCCAATATCTTCGATCATTTCTTGCTTCATTTCTTTATCCTGTGCTAGGCTGTCCAGGCTCCGAGGAATCTCGTCGCACATGTTTTGCCAGCCCGCATCCCGCTTATCTTGGCGTGCATTGAACACGGCCAATTGTCCGCGGCGGCAGTCAACATTGAATTTTTGGATGTCCACCAGAAGATTTTCAAAAACAGCCTTGTTCCAGGACATGTAATAAATAGTGATATTCTCGGCATTTCTCGAGAAGGGATCCAGAGCATTCCGGTGCGGGTCGCGGTAGAAGGCAAACCAACATTTCTGATACAGAAAGAAATGAAAACGCTCTTGTCCCGGAGTGATGCGAAGCTTCTCTATCTTTCCTCGATATGCTGGGATTTCTGTCTCCACATACTGAAGAGAGTCGTCGTTGGAATCCCAAAGAAATCCGAATGCCTCCGTAATTCCAACGATAACCGAGCTTGAGCAGCTGTGAAACCTGACACTAGATACCCATCTCATAACTTGAGGGTATAGATTATTCCGGTGTCTAATTTCCGCGGAGGCGACAAATAGTGAAATAATCGGTTCCAGAGCTCTCGAAAGTGACGGCAGTAAGAATGTTGAAATGATCGGAAGGGCAGCCAACGGCAGAACAGAAGACAATATGTTAACGCCCAGTGCGGCCGAGACTAGCCGGATAAGCCATGAAAGCCCTGGGGCAAAGGTATCAAGGAGAGAATGAAGTGCCTCATCAGGTTGTTCGGACATTTTAGGTGGGAAAGCAAGAATCTCTGAAGTGTTTGGTATTTGGAGTGGAGATGAACACTGATAATATGTTGATGACCTGCGGTGTTTTCTTCGTTGTACAAAATGGCATAGGAACAGTATTCTGGGCAGCTAGTATTTATATCATATCCCGAATGAGTGCTGAAACGTCGTCTTTACTTTGGCGGTGGAGGTGGGACGCCTGGTTTCTTGACCCCTGTTGTATCGTATGCACCGCCTCTGAAAGGCTCAGCCTGGTTAAAGATCACTAGTCAATGAAATGAACATACCCTGTACTGAATTGATCTTCGTCAGGACGAATTATGGTTGGTATTTGGACTTCGAATGGCTCTCAATTGGAATAGAGCAGCGTAAATTTGGATGTGTTCGAGGAAGACTTATATGATAATCAAGCATCCTTCTTTGTTTTAAATCCTTGCGAGTAAGACAAATTACTAGCAATTCTGTATACATTCACTGCGTACGAACTATAATGGTCCAAAAGTGGTTCTGAACTTGAGCATAATTGCCTTGTGCTAGTCACTTTCCCCTTGTGTGAATTGGTCCATATCTAACTGGTTTTGGGCCTACAGACAAGCCTACCAATGTGCATGATTCTCGGTGAAGAAGTCTGCAAAGGTACAAGCTGCGACCCCTTACATGAATTCATGAACTTAATTCTGATATTAAGAAAGTGCGGTGCATTGTACTAACAGTATAGTTGAAGTAGAACTATCAATTTGAACGGAATCAATGCAGAAACGAAAAAGCCCAAGATAGATGTTCCATTGTACCTATCCGAGAGACCCGTTTGGAATCGCTCGTGGAAAACTTGACTAGCCACTGCTCAATCGCCCCGTCGGCGCTTCGGACAGGATCAAATCGTTCCAAAACCGCCTTTTTGAAAAGTCTGGACTGATACACCAAATCATATCTATCATTGAAGTTCTGCATATCATAAAACAGATCGCACGGGATCCAGACTTCTCGTTTCAGGGCCAATGAAATGTGAGTAAACCGACCCATATCACTGACCCTGAAGCTTTCGTTCTGAAGATGCTGACATAGTAGTGCTTGGAAGATCTTCCCCAGGTTATCGTTGAGTGTGTAGTAGGTCGACTGCGTCATCAATGCCGTATAGAGGTGAGCAGTCGGAATCAATTCTGATTCGAGGAAGGGGTATCTCTTGGTACACGCCGCCCTGAGTTCCGGGGAAGGCTTCGTGTAGTGGCCATTAGCGTCACACAAGGTACAACTAACGATACTTAGCGTCGCTTCATTTGCATAGAAGACATACTATGTGAAAAGCCCTGAAACATTGCTTGTAGATCCATTTTCAGATAGGAGGCTATTGGTGGTGGCTCGGGGGATACCTTGGGGTTATATATGTGGATTCGTGGTTCCAGTTGAATAAGCCAGGCGGATCAGAATGGCTTTGATGTTGTATCAAGCCGGACGGGAACAAGTGTGAGGACATGATTAGAAACACAAAAGACTTTCAGTCTTCCGTCACCAGAGCACCCTTGTCGGATTATCATCGGTCAGTCACCGCCAAGTCACATCGAAGCACCCAAAACGAGTACAAGCAGCACCCACTAAAAGCATTCCCTATTCCCAAAATGCACTGAATAGTCTCAAAGATGAAGTAATCCATAGCTTTGCAGGAATCAGCCCACTGAAGATTGGTTTGTTGAGGGCGAATGAGGGTTGGCTTTGTACAGTAAGCATTGAACATAGAAGTCGCTATGCCAATCCAGTTGCCGTTGGACAGGAGACCATGGCCTTCTATGTGTTTTCAGTTATACATTGCTTTCGAGTAGAACAATCCCAACTGAGACAAATGTAATCCGTACATCCTGCCACATGACTTTGGGGGCCAGTGGGCTTGCTTGCCGATCTAACACTACGAAGAATCAACGGTTCTATCCGACAATAGTGAAAATTCAAGACTAAGCCAAATTGAGGACCCCCCACTGAGGGTTTCCCAATCGGTCTATTTCTGTAAGCGATCCCCCACTAAACCTTATTCGGAAGCCCCCGTTGTGGGTTTCCTGATCGGGTTAGTTGTGACTGACCACTTTACCCGACTGGAGCCCACCCTTACCTCTGAGAAGATCAATTGTGGAAGGCTCTCTGAAAAGTCACATACTTCTCAATAAAGGCCGCACACGTATATGTGAACTCGAAATCGAATGTCAAACCCTAAAAGAGGTGATATAGCTGAGAGGAGACTGGGTATATGAGTGCACGTATACAATACGATAGAATGCATATCGGCAGGACCACCGAGATGTGACATGAGAAAGACGAAGAAAGATCGTTCTCGACCTCTCTGACAATGGCTCTCGGTAAAGCATGGGGTATCTAACGAAATTTAAGTAAATGCAACGTGACGGAACTTGCATACACTAAGCGCCCCATGTGATTGATTTACCGAATAATAAAGTTCGTAACATGGAAACCCCATTGCAAAGTTGGCTTAAGTTATTGCCTGCTTACTTGTCTGCACAAGGCAAACTAGAGGAATACCCAAGACGGAAAGCCGAATATCACATGACGAGTCGTGGCAAGGCTTTTTCCATCTTCCTCTTATTTTCCTTTTTTTGTTTGGTACGTGCTCCCTATTATGGCAATCCAACGTCAGATTGAATTTGAAGGCAATGATACGGCCTATATCCAGTTCCTCGAAAATAAAGTATTGGAGCTAGAGAATGTCCTGCAGACTTTACCAAACCAGAGGATCCGTCCGTCCGTCCCCCAGTCAGGAAGTGCCGGATCAAACCCTCGCTCTAGCAGTCGTCAATCTTCTACGAATGAGCGTGGTAATCGTCCGACTGGATTTCAAGTCATCGAATACGACCCAAAACACGTTGACTGCTATCCCAAAAGAGTTAAATCCAGTAGCCAGACACGACACAGGTGGCGATCTGATTTGAACAGTCTCCTTGCGAAAGTACCGCCTTTGGATTATTGGCGATCTCACAAGCAAGAGTTATCAGAGAAGAGCAGAATTACGCTGGAGGTTCTGGCCCAAGCTGATATTTCATTATACCAAACACCCATAGTCCCCCCCCGGACTTACTCTGGACCTGTTGATCTTGTTCCTATCTTGCACCAATATTGTAACTTTGCGATGAAAACAAGCCCTGAAGGAGATTTCTACTGCAAGTTGACGTGCTTCCGAGAACTCGTGTTCATGTCATTTTGTGCCGTCGCACTCAAAGTGGCTGATAACGCAGCCAGCGTATTTAAAGTGATGCGAGAATATAGCGGATCTGAAGCTCAGGAGAAACACCTGATTAAGCTGACTCGTGGTGCAATTTGGGCAAATCGCTCGATTTTCGCTTTGTCTGGGACTCAGTGGGGATCAGATTGCTCTGATGTCTTTTTGCTGGGTAAGTCAGAACAAACAGCTAATTTTTGTCTCAATTAACAATTTTTTGAAAGCTGGGCAGCCTGTTTCTTTCTATGCACGATACGCCGAGTATTCTGAAAGTCTGCCGTATTTCCTGCACCAGATGAGAACGAAGGCCGGCGATCATGCTAGCTCCGGAAAAGATTTCAGACCAATGTCTCTTGCTGTTCCTCTCATAATTGAGAGGCTTGCTCGGGGGAGTTTGTCGTAAGTGTCACTTAGTACCAGTTTACATGAGATTATCAACTTCAAGGCCTGTCACTTATTCGATTTGGGTAAGCAGACTATCAAAAATATGCGAAAGCCTTGGATACGAATTACGATACATGGAAGACTGTCGTCTACCATTTGACCAGGCGTTGAATCATTCAATTACAAAGAAACGACATTTTGGGCCAGCACAGCCCAACGCATCCAAGAGGCCTCGTTTGTCCCAATCCCAGTCTACATCGTCAAATCCAACCCCCAACCAGGCTATACGAAACTGCGAAGAGACAACCACGGGAACTAATGTCGCTTTGTCTGCTGAGAGCATTCCCGAATCTACATTTCCTCTTAACGCCATGAGTGGAACAGAAGTACAGACAGGCTCATGTCAAAGTGATGTCACCAGCGGTGTTGGCTTCTCACTAGAGTTGAGTAACGCTCCGCTGTTGCAAGGAGAATCCCCTCAACGACCTAGGTTACCGGCCGAGCAACTCAGCTTATGTATTACACAATCAGAATCTGTACCTGATCGAGATTGTCCTACCCTACCGCCTATTTTCGATGTTCCAGTTCCACACAGCTCGCAGCCCACAGCTTCATACCCTGAAGACTATAGCAGCTTGGACTGGGAAAAAGATTTCCTCTTGCTGGATTGGGAACGTGATTACGACTATACTGCATTTCATTCGGGCAACTGGCAGGATCGACATAGCTAATCAATGTACGAAAACATCGGCCTCGGCAGTAAATAACTTCAGGCAGTGCGTAGTCGATAAACAAGAGTAATAAACTTCCCACCTCCGCCACTGGTGTGAGAGTACACAATCCGGCCACTCCAAGCGACTGCGTCACCAGCTTTCAGATTTAGGTCCACAGGGTTTCCAATGGGTGGTTTCCGTTGATGGGATCCTTCGTAGAGCGTAAACCATCCATTATCTTGTCCCAAATCCGTCACTGCAATAGTAATGTAAACCTCCTCTTCATTTGCGGTCTTCAGCTTTGATGGATCCGCATGTGTCTGATGAAATATGCCCATATTAATCGATGTTGGTTGGTGGGGCACGGCAGTCGCGGAGAACAAAGGTTCAAGCATTCCCTTTTCTACATTCTGCTTTTTTCTTAGCCTGTGTTCACTGATAAGTCCAGAGATAATCTATACCTTCACAAAATCGTCCTTCACAGCAATACCTAATGACGAGACCTCGTATTCATTGTACTTTTCTCGACACACCGTAGGTTTTCTTTTCGCGATGTCTACATCGAATTCGGTCGCCAACTGTTTCACGAGAGCCACAGATACACATTGAGGTATGACCATAAACCCTCGAGAGTTTTCCATTTCTGTAGTGTGTTTCGGTTCGTCTTCAACTGAGAGGTCTCGAGCAAAGGCAGCATGAACGAATGATTCTAGAAGTCGCGCCCTGCTATCAGTCATTTGCTTCAAGTACCGAAGGCCAACAATCTTGATATTGGTAGCTCACTTGAAGAACAATCTGCTGAATTTGAAAACTTCGCAAGTCCACCAAAAGAAGCGATGGCAGCCTCTTAGATAGAATCCTGAATTGTCCCAGGGCGGGGTTCTGCATTTTCTATGCCCGACCGCCTTGTGCTTTTTCTGCCGGCATGTGGCCCCTCCCCACATGCGGACCGCTTTTATCGCTGTGATACGAGAGCGGTGCAGATTAGGAACCAAGCCACATCAGGGGATATAAGTTCTTCACGATTGATGAGAAGATCCAAGTCCAATAATAATGTACAGCAAATTGAGGCACCGCAAAAATCAAACCCTTTTGGCCCAGGGAAGACTCTCCTCAATTTAGTTTTTGGCGGAATTTGAAATAATGTGTTTATCGCCTGTTGTACTCCAGAGGAATGATTAGTTATTCTTATTTATGAGAGGATTCGGGACTTGTATACATAACTTGAGCTCCAAGTTGATTGTTAACCAACTTGGTTCTTAGTGCAGGTTGTGAAATAATTATTTCCGATGATTTGATTTACTGCCTGAACCGCACCAGCCTCGTATCACAACATCGCCGACTACCTATTCAGGATATGCGGGATAGTAGACACTGAAATAAACGGGGTGATTCTAGGAGTTGGTTTATTCCCAAGACATCGGACACATGTTCCGGGGCTGTCGACTATAGCTTTCTTTAATATTGACTACTCATTTGAATACGCTGTCCTCATCTACGGATACGTGAAATCCTCACAGCAGTGGCGAAATAATCGGACGACGCCCAATCTATCATTCGGTCAAGAGCAGAGAGCTTCCTTTCTCTTTCGTCTTTCCATCTGCGCGACTCATTTCTCTTGCTGGAGCCGTGACAGGAAATCGATAATCTTCACAAAGTCAGCAACTTAGATAGTTTCATCCAAGACTATCTTAGATCCCTCACCTGACCAACGCTCAACGTAATTCATTACTTCAGCATAGCGACCATATACAACCTTGCGTCGTGTGCTGTGCTCTTCGGTGCTTAATGTTCCACTTTTGGAATCAAGACGGAAGGTTATCACCGCAGCTTTAACCCCATCGATATTTTTTGGACGCTGGGAAATTACCGCGGGTGAGAGTAGAGATTTGCGTGTCAATTTGATTAGTCGATACGCGTCCCTCAAATTGGCGAAGAAAGACCAGGGATCCTTTAGATCCCAAAGCAACTCTGCGCTTCTCCAATCTTCTCAATATCAGGCTAGGATGGAATGTTATAACTTTCTGGGGTATGCATACCATGCCTTGCCCCGGGTTCCGACTCTTCCAAATTTCCTGAGGTCAGGTTTCTTGCTATAATCAGTGCCTCCGAGAAAGGTTGAGAGCTTCTGATACTATATAATCAAAGGAATGGGAAATGTGAGGGTTATATACGTAATGAGCGATGTGCTCCTCATTTTCGGTGAAGTCTCCCTGGTGGTAGTGGCGGCTGTTCTTGGGGGCTGAGTCGACGCGTTGAATCCCATAATTCACGAACGCTATCCAGATAAGCCTGTATAGTCAGTATGTAGCTTCTATCTGATGACCGTGCAGGGTCGAACTTAGCCGATGTTCAACATTCACAGAATAATGAGGCATCGAGTCATCTCGTCAATTTCTTGCTGTCATAACCATCACAGCGCAATCCGCTCTGATTCATTTTTGTCTTTTTGAACCCCTCGACTTTCACTTCGAAGGACGTATAGTGGCAAATGGTGCTACGAAGGGGTGAAATCCTGTGTTGTTGAAACTAGCGGTGTAACACAAACTTGCTTTAGGATTTGTCTTTACAGCTGCAGCTGAGCTGCTACAATAGCCGCTGACCTCTTCAATAAGTTTCTCGCAGCCGGAATTTCCATTGCTAAGCGGGGATATCTAGACCGGCCGCACGTGGCCACCATGAGGCTTTTGGACTCTCAGTGTAACAAGGCGCTCGTCTTAATATCCCATCATCACTACTACGAAACCTGGTACATTCCTGTTGACGGCTCTATTATTGCTAGGAACTCCTGTCTTGATCCTGGGGGCTCACTTGCTCCCGAAGGCCTTGAAAAGGTTTCTGGGAGCAAAGAAGCAGCTTCTAGGAGCCACGTAGCCCCCAGGAAACCCGATGTAGCTTCTGGGGTCTGGTACCCACACCTCGGGGAATCAAAGCCACGTTCCTGTTGACAACTTGTTGATTCCTGGAGACGTAATTGCGGCTCCTGGGGCGATCATTTGGCCTTCTGGGGGTGGTCCAATGACGCATATTTGTGAGCAGGGTTGGTGAAGGTGTTTTGTGAGAGCTTCCGCGACCTCAGGAGGCAGTATAGTGACTCTAGGGCCTTAAAGTAGGCTCCCAGGAGCTCCACAGCTCCCAGGTCAAGCCAATGTATTTGTCAAGGATATACATGAAGCATACGGAACGGATGGAGATATGATCTGCGCGGGACCCACTTAGTGTATATGGGTTCCCCTGAACGCGAGGAAGCTACCTTTCTTTGCTTCCTCGTGCTACGTCTTGTATCTAGAGTCGACTATAGCTTTATTTAATATTGATTACTGATCTGAATACGCTGTCCTCATCTACGGATACGTGAGACCCTCACAGTATTCCCAGAGCGAGTTTCGTATTCAGCCAGGGAACGTAGAGTGAAGATCCCCAGGGGTAGATCTCATTTTCCTGGAACTAAGAATAGCCCCAGGAGCTAAATTGTGGTTCCTAGGGGATAGACAGCTCCTAGAAATGCTTTGAGCTTCCAGAGTCAGTTTAACAAGCACAAGAGTTTGTCAGTCTCTCGCCAGCCCGCTAGTTGCGTTCTTCTGCCAACAATCTCCGCTTTATGCGACACGGCTCCACTGAGATGAATCCGTGTCTCCTTGGGTCACCGCCGTTAGGTATGATGAAAGAAGAAACTTAATCTACAGTACCAGCACGGTTTAGCTAAGTCATTTTCGAAATACGGAAGCAGTCGCTATTGGCTAAGATGTAAATGGTGTCCAGCACATGCGAGATGAAACGGTCGCGTTGTACTCTGGAGTTTAAGGATCAGAATTTCATTTCTTGCTAAGCTTGCTCCAAAAAAATCTATCACGACTATGACCTCTGTAGCTGATCACGATGCCGAGGGTCTGGTCATGTGTACTCACGTGTGATTGGCGTTCGCTTTTCCTGTTTTCCGTCTTACCTCGCCTGTAACCTGTGAACACCTACACTGAGTGGAATTGAGTCGTGCCGATCGGCGAAGCGGTGCAGAGGTAGAGGGTTCTCGCGTGAGGTGAGTTCCTACTAGTCTGGCTGAGCGACGGGGGCCACTCTGCTCGACTGATGCCCCTGATCACACTGACCGCTGAAGCGGCTGACTCTGATAAGGATCGTCTGGTGATAAGATCCCGACGGTGGCAAGTTACTCCATCGGGAGATGATCCACTTGCTGTGAGGACAGAATGTGTCTCGGTATCCGACGGTTGGACTTGGAAAGGATGCATCAAGGCGTCTAGATTTCCTTCGCTTCGACTGTAATCATCAGCATATCGGGATAACTCACCCCACTCTTCCGTGCAGGCTACGTGAGAAAGCCCTCCGCAATCATTGCAACGCAAGACCACACGACCACACAATCGTTTGCATAATTTTCATCTTCGGTCAAGCAGAATAAACAGTGCATGTTGTTGTCCTCTTCACTTAAGTGAGACTCTGGAGCGTCAAGTCTTGGACACCAGCCTAGGTATTAGTTGCTGATGACAGAATGGCCGGCCGAGCCGGCGGAACATGCCATGGGACACTGCTTTTCCGCAACATTGCGGCTGGGATATATTGATTGGCTACACTGGCTGCATTGGCTTAGGACTGGTTGACAGGAGCACCCGGCGAGACTTGTCTGATCCTACGATGAGATGGTGACCGGTGAGTGTTATCTGATCTCTCATGGCGTCGCCGGGAGGCTGACGACATCTGACACTGGCTTGATCGTATACAACTGATGGAGAGCCAATTCTATAGTCGAAAGACTGTTAAGGTCGACACTATTTCTAGCAAGTGCTATAATGACGACAACATCTAACTTCTCTATCTAGTTTATACCGCAGTTTGTGCAGTGGTACGAGTACTGCAAGTTCCCTTGTAAAAAGATTTTCAAGTCTATCCGGCTAGCGAGCTGGACAAAGAGCTGGGCGATCTTGAGGCTGGGAAGTTAAGGCGGAAAAGACTCTTACCTGGGTTGCGGGGCCCGCTAACGATTGATACAGGTCAACCAAGCCCGTTCTGACGTGGGATGATTGTACTTATGGTTAGGATGATCTTACATATCTTTCGTCGCCATGGTGAGTATATGGATCGATCTAATATACGCATATTTCATAAACGATTCCAAACAAAACTTACATAAACTAAAAAATAGAGAAGCCTACCAAACATGTACTAATGACAACAGAAATCAACCATATATCTGCCTACAGATCACAAATTCAGCGCAACGACCCAATGCTGATCTATCATTTCCTGCCCTTCTCTGAGGTCGACTGATTAGATAGAGACGTCGGATCAGACTTCTTAGTCGCGACTCCCTCTGGCGGGACGA